CTCTCTCTCTCTCTCTCTCTCTCTCTCTCTCTGAACTCCACTACTCTCCTCGGCGCTGGACTCCTCCAGCGATGTGCCTCATTGTCGATGAACAGCGCAGCTGCAGTCTCAAAATAGCGCAGCCTGTAGTCTCCTCATAGCGCAGCAAGTGAAGTCCTGAACCAGCGTAACGCTGGATTTCCCCTGGTACCTTCTTCCCAGAACTGGGCAATGGCCCAGCTTAAGTAGCGCTGGGCCAGGACTGAAAACCCACGACCTTCGACCTGGACCGTTCAGATCCACGGTTCAGATCGCAGGCCCGAACGTGTGGTTCAGTCCTTGGCCTAAAACGGCCTGCCTGGGTCCCTACCGGACATCCAGGCCCTGTCCAGGATTCAACCTCCTGGTACCTGGCTTCAAACCGGTCCTGTGTGGACGTACCCGGCCTCAACGTCGGCCTGGGTCCGAACAGGTCCTAAATCTGTTCGAAAACAAAAGAAAATGTCCAAACGTTTTTAGAGGTTCAACCTCTGGGCCTGAATCTGGCCCTGAATCTGGCCCTGGCCCTAAAACGTGTACCTGGCCACAAAACGGACAACAATACAGCCGTTAGAAAAACAGCAGCAAATAAAAGAATATAAAAATAATCTAAAGCTGGCGTTTTTCTGATGCAGGCCCAAGTAAAAATGCCATAGGGCCTTCAGGTTGCGGTGACGCGACCTGGGGGCCCTATTCCAACCTCGGGTCCCGTGAGGGGCCCGTGTGTAGGCTTTCAGCATGTAACTTGCCCCCCTCCTTATGAAGACGAGCCGGGGCGCGGGCGAAGCTGCCGATCCGATGGCGGAAAGTAGCGAGGATGGCGAGGAGCTGGAGTGCTCGGCGTAGTCTTCCCTTTGCTAAGATAACGTGAGAGAACGGCGGGAGTTGTGGCCTGCAGTTCCGAACGCATCAGCCAACGGTCAGCCTTGTGGCTACAGTAAGAAAAGTGAAGTAGAAACTTTGTTTCTTTGTTGCCATGGCGCCGGTCAGTGATGATGTAGCCGGCCTCCTGAAATCCGTCCATGGAAGGAGGGTCTTACGTACGTCGATCACAAAACTCGTCGGACTCCACTGAAACAAAAGGAGCGAGTTTGGAACAGTGGAACACCGTGTGGACGGGCAAGTGAGGTGGCACCGCGATGTGGAATGAAGGCCGCTCGGGATCATCACCAACTGCAGAGAGAATGCGCCAAGGCCCCATCCACTTGGGAAGGAGCTTGCGAGAGATGTCTTGCTCAAGGCTGAATTCCGCGGCGGAGACCCAAACCAGATCGCCGGCGCGGAACGGGCAAGGGAGACGATTGCGGTTGGCTTGACGGCTCATCCGTATTTGCGTCTTTGACATCTGATCCCGTGCCTTGACAAGGAGCTCTTGCATGCGACGAAGGAACGCAAGATGGTCGTCGCTCTCGGCTGTGTGCGGCAAAACGGCGTCCAGCGGCGATGAGATGGGTGAACCATGCTCAAACTCAAACGACGACATCCCGATAGCCGGATGGATCGATGAGTTGTAAGCCAACTCGACGTCTGGCACGCGCTCAACCCAATCAACCTGGTCGGGACGGATGAGAGTGCGTAAAAGGACTTGAGCGGTCTGATGCGCTCTTTCCGTTTGACAATCGGTTTGCGGGTGGCGAGCCGAACTCAGCTTCAAAGATGAGCCCCATCGCGTGACGAGGGCGACCCAAAAGTCGGAGAGAAAGTGAGTGTCTCGGTCGCAAACGATCTCCTTGGGGTAGCCCTTGGAGCGAATCCAACCGGTGTATAAGACCTCGGCTAACTCCGGTGCCTTTGCGTGATAGCGGCAAGGCAAAAACATGGCGTACTCGGTGAGGCGGTCGACGACCGTGAGGATCCCATCAATGCCGGTCTTGTGCTTCGGGAAGGGGCCGGTAATATCCATAGCAATTGCTTCCCATCGCCCAAGGGGAACTGGTAGTGGGTGTAGCTTGCCGAAGGGACGATGGTTGCGTGACTTGCAACGCCGACAGACTTCGCACGACTCACAATAGCGGGTGGCGTCCTTGAGAAGGTCGGGCCAATAGAACCGCTGGCGAAGTCGGCCAAGTGTACGGTTGACACCAAAATGTCCGGAGGCGGGCACATCGTGAAACTCGCCAAGAAGCCGTGTGCCCAAAGTGTGAATCACTTGGCACACAAAGAAGATCCTTACCCCGTGAATGCACAAGCAAGTAGCCCTCTTGGATCCGATAATGCGAAGGCATCGGATTCGGAGAGGAGCAATTCGCGTACTTGTCGCGAAAGTGGGGGTCGGCTTGATAGCCGCGGATGAAGCTCTCCCGCAAGTCGTCGTCAATCTCGAAGGTAGAGTAGACTGCGGTGCAAAGATCCGGTCGCCGTGAGAGGGCGTCCGCAAAATGGTTTGACTTCCCGGGAATGTGATCGGGGAAAAAGTCAAACTGGTTGATGAAAGCCATCCTACGGGCAATGGTACTGTTAAGGCAAGAAGCTTCTTCTTCCGAGCGTCGTCGATCAAATGCACGGGAGGTACTTTCTTGCTAAAGTACTCGACCGGGTGCCAGTCCGTGCCATAGTGCTGCTCAAGGACGGCCCCAATGCCATAGCCCGGCGCATCGGTAGTGACGCGCGTAGCTAGAAGCGTGTCGTATACATGTAACACCTCGGCGGATAAGAGCGCCGCTTTGAGTGCTTCAAAAGAATGGCGTGCATCGTCGTCGAAGTCAAAAGGCCGCTCCTCGCTTTGTAACTTGCTTAGGTTGGCCGCGATCTTCGAGTAACCCTTGATGAAGCGCTGATAATAACCGGCCAAGCCGAGGAAGGATCAGGCGTCCGTCACATTCTTCGACTTGGGCCACTCCTGGATGGCTTGAATCTTGTCCACCAACGGACGAATGCCTTCCGAAGATACAAGATGGCCCAAGTATTCAAGCTCTTGCCGGACRAACTCRCATTTGTCGCGGTTRGCTTTGTACCGGGCTGACCGAAGAGTCTCTAGAACACGGCGAAGGTGCTCGAGATGCTCCTCTAGAGTTCGGCTATAGACGAGGATGTCGTCTAAGTAGACCAAGACRAADCGGTCCAACATAGCGCRAAACTCGGTGGTCATGGCCGCCTGAAAGGTAGCCGGGGCATTGGTGAGGCCAAAAGGCATAACTACCCACTCAAAATGCCCATATCGCGTCTTAAACGCGGTTTTGTACCGATCTTGCGGGCGGATGGAAATCTGATGGTAGCCCGACTTGAGGTCCAACTTTGAAAAGTACTTGGCGCCGCCCAAATGCTCAAGCAAATCGTCAATGCGAGGTAGAGGCCCCGCGTTTTTGATGGTTTGCGCGTTGAGGCGTCGGTATTCAATGCAAAGTCGAAGGTCCTTGTTCTTCTTCCGAACGAAGAGAACGGGCGCACCGTAAGGTGAGCTGCTAGGGCGGATCCAACCCTTGTCAAGTAGATCGTCAAGTTGCGCACGGAGAACCGTGAGCTCCTCCTCGGACATGCGATAAATGCATCCCTTCGGTGGCATGGCGCCGGCCTCGAGTATGATCTCGTGAGAGATTGGCCGGTCCGGCACTATACCAGAGGGTGTCTCAAAAACATCCAACAACCGGGTCACACGCGGGTCGGAAGACAAATCCGTGGACGATGAGTCGGTCGTCGGGACGGTTCGGAGAAAAGTGATGCCAATCTCTTCGACATGCTCGGAACGGCATGTGTCTCGAAAAGATTTGGCACTCACGACTTGGCACCGAATGGAAGAGCGAGGAGGAGGAATAGTACACGGGATCTCGGCGCCAGTTGCATCACGAATCGTGAGCGTGCGTCGATGGAAATTGACCGTGTGGTCCGCGCTAGAAAGCCAAGGCATCCCCAAAATGACATCGAAGTCGGTGTCCAACACGTCAAAAGTGACGGGTTCGCATGCGTGCGGTGCAAAGTACACCGGGACAGCCGAGATGTAACCGTCTAAGAGCTGTTTCGTCTTACCGTCGGCCAGAGCGACCGTCGTCGGATGTGACTTCCTCCGTACTTATGCGCCAAGGCCAGCCCGAGTCATGAAGGACTGGCTGATGAAGTTGCGAGTTGCGCCGCAATCTAGCAAAGCGTTGCAGGCCGCTTGCCCAATTTGAATGCGGACGTAGAGCAACGGTGCGTTGTTTTCTTTGTACCGTTGCGAGGCAAACTCGCGGGCCACCTTGGCAACATAGCCAAGCATGTCCCCCACCGCGACTTTGTCTACCGTCGGCGAAGTTGGTGGTGCATGAAAGGAAAGATACTCGTGTAAGAGGGCGCATAGTGCTGCGCTTTGCGGCCCTGGAAGGTTGTCCGTCGTAGGGAGAGGAACCCATGCGAAATCCTCGGGCGTGAGTGGGTCCAAAGCCTCCTCGTTGAACACGCTTGCCGAATCCCTTGATGAAGACGAAATGGCGGAAGAACCTTCGGACGGTGAGAAAGTCGCACATGTATCTCGTCCTTGAGAAGCATCCAGTGAAGGAACGAGYCGGGCAGCGAAGTCTTCGAACGAAAGTGGAAGACTCCCAACATCCGCATATACCTCGGAAGAAAGGGCGGTCGTGCGCACAACCGCTTCCGATGGAGTCGAGGGAGGTGTCGAGTTACCCTCGGCGGTGCCTACTTTCCCGAATGGGGTTTCCCCTTGGTGGGGCAATGTGCAGCATCGTGGATGGTGCTGTTGCACCAAAGACAATAACGGTACTTGAGTCTCGTGCGGTAACAATTCGCCGAGAGTCCGTATTGTGTCCAAGGTTCGTCGGCTGCTGATCCGGTGCCCGGTGTAGAGGTGGACTGAGTCTTCGTCTTGTCGCGGCCGTGGTTATTGCGCGGCCGGCCACCATCCCGGGCAGCTGCCAACACTTCACCCTCGTTTGGTGTTGCAGCCTCGGCATAAGAAGTCGGCGAAGTCGCCACAATGCAAGCCACCTTTGGCTTGGGCTGGGTGTTGCTCGTCGTCGCGGAAGAGCGGCCGGCGTTGCGGGCTTCTACATTCGTGAGAATGATCCGTGACGTTGTGCTGAAAAGCTTGTCAGATGTGTCGAGTGTCTCTGCAATCTGCGTCAGCGCGTTTGCAGGGCTGGACACGAGCGCATGATAAACAAGTGCTTGACGCCGCGGAATGCGAGCGGCAGGTCAGGTGTGGAGGCGAGTCTTTGGAACTCGGTAATCCAGTCCTGACTGAGCAACGTGTTCTGATGGAGCTTGTTGAGCTTGTCCATTGCTTGCAGGTCGAGCGGCTCCACTTGGAATCGCTCGTGCCAGGCGTCAGTCAACTCCTGCCAAGTGAGCTTGGTGTG